AAGAGGTTTTTGCCTGCTTTCTCCTCGAGGATTTTGATGGCTTCCTATCTTACATTTAGGTCTTTCATCCTTTTTGTGTTTATTTTTGTGTATGGTGTAAGAAAGTGGTCCAGATTCATTTTTCTGCATGTCGCTGTCCAATTTTCCCAGCACCGTTTGCCATAAAGACTGTCTTTATTCCATTGGATATTCTTTACTGCTTTGTCAAAGATGAGTTGGCTATATGTTTGTGGGTCCGTTTCTGGGTTCTCTATTCTGTTCCATTGATCTGAGTGTCTGTTTTTGTGCCAGTACCATACTGTCTTCATGATTACAGCTTTCTAATACATCTTGAAACCTGGGATTGTGATGCCTCCAGCTTTGGTTTTCTTTTTCAATATTCCTTTGGCTATTTGGGGTCTTTTCTGGTTCCATACAAACTTTAGGATTGTTTGTTCTAGCTCTGTGAAGAATGCTGGTGTTATTTTGATAGGTATTGCATTGAATTTGTAGATTGCTTTGTGTCATATTGACATTTTACCAATATTTTTTCTTCCTACGCAAGAGCACAGAATATTTTTCCTTTTGTGTGTCTGTCATCTTCATTTTCTTTCATAAGCTTTCTATAGTTTTCAGTGTATAGAGTTTTCACCTCTGTGTTTAGATTTTTTTCCTAGGTATTTTGTGGGGTTGGTATAATTGTAAATGAGATTGATTCCTTGATTTCTCTTTCTCTTGCTTCACTATTGGTATATAGGAATGCAACCAATTTCTCTGCATTGATTTTATATCCTCCGACTTTGCTGAATTCATGCATCAGTTATAGCAGTTTTTTGGTCAAATTGTTTGGGTTTTCCATATAGAGTGTCATGTCATCTGTGAAGAGTGAAAGTTTGACCTCCTCCTGGCCAGTATGGATGCCTTTTATTTTTTTGTGCTGTCCGATTGCTGAGGCTAAGACTTCAATACTCTGTTGAATCACAGTGTTGAGAGTGGATAGCCCTGTGTTGTTCTTGATCTTAGGGGAAAAGCTCTCAGTTTTTCCCCATTGAGGATGGTATTAGTGGTGGGTCTTTCATATATGGCTTTTATGATCTTGAGGTATGATCCTTTTATTCCTACTTTCTTGAGGGTTTTTTCAAGAAAGGGTGCTGTATTTTGTCAGATGTTTTCTCTGCGTCTATTGATCATGTGGTTCTTGTCCTTTCTTTTATTGATGTGATATATCACGTTGATTGTTTTGTGGATATTGAACCAGCCTTGCATATCAGGTATAAATCTCACTTGGTCCTGGTGAATAATTATTTTAATGTATTGTTGGATCTGGCTGGCTAGTATCTTGTTGAGGATTTTTGCATCCATGTTCATCAGGGAAATTGGTCTTTAGTTCTCCTTTTTAGTGGGGTCTTTGTCTAGGTTTGGAATCAAGGTAATGCTGGCTTCATAGAAAGAGTTTAGAAGTTTCCTTCCATTTCTGTTTTTTGGAACAGCTTCAAGAGAATAAGTGTTAAGTGTTCTTTAAATGTTTGGTACAATTCTCCTGGAAAGACATCTGGCCCTGGACTCCGGTTTTTTAGGAGAGTTTTGACTACTAATCCGATTCTTTACTGGTTATGGGTCTGTTCATATTTTCCATTTCTTCCTGTTTCAGTTTTGGTAGTTTATATATTTCTAGGAATTTGTCTATTTCTTCCAGATTGCCCATTTTATTGGCATAAAATTGGTTGTAATATTCTCTTATTGTTTGTATTTCTGCTGCAAATACATCCTCTTCTTGACAGGTCACCTGCATTTGGTTCATTTTAACTCTTTCACTGTATCCCTAGTGGAGCATTCATATAACACATGCATTTTAATAACAATCAGCATTTTCTTCTAGAAGCATGAATTATTGTGCCTTAAAAATACAACTCATTATGAAATCATGCTACACAATAATTTTTACAGCTTTTAACATTTTCTTTCAAGAGGAATTTTGCAAAAATGTTGATCAGTTAGAGAGTCTCTGACAAATATGCCCAGCCTCCTCTTTCAGCAAATCATTTCACCTATGTTTCTTTTCTCTTTCCATATATTTGTATATTTATTCATTCAAAATTATTTCTTGAGCAGCAACTATGTATTAACAACTAAGTTGTTATTACTATAACTATGTTAAACAGTGTTCACATTTGAATACAATTTTGTGTAATGGAAAAACAACAATGCTTTTAGATATTATAATAGAAATAAGTTTCAGAGTATAGTAGAGATCCACAATAGATCCATTACCAAAAAGGCAACTGGAGTTTTCATCTAAATTATTTTATAGTTTTCTAAAGTACTGTCATGGGTACCATCTTAATTAAGTTTCTGTAGTGTGGGCAGGCCATATTACAGGTAAAGAAGCAAGACTTGGGAAGAGAGGTAGTTGATTGGAAAGCATCACTGGACGAAGTGAAGATAAGATTCAGTTAGTGTCTTTGCTCTACCTATAACTGGCTGTGGATAGATAGTCATTTCATCTTTGAAGGCTTTATTTTCTTTTTTTTTTCTTTTAATGTTTATTTTTGAGAGAGACAGAGAGACAGGGACAGCATGTGAGCTGGGGACCAGCAGAGAGGGAGGGAGATACAGAATCTGAAGCAGGTTGCAGGCTCCAGTCTGACAGCACAGAGCCCGATGTGGGGGCTCGAACCCATGAGCCATGAGATCATGACCTCAGCCTAAATTGAATGCTTAACCAGTGGAGCCACCCAGGCACCCTTATGGCCTTATTTTCAAATCTATAATTGGAAAGTGAGGAAACTACCTATATGCTCTCTTAGATCTGGGGTTGTGATTTTATGTTGGGACAGCTCTCCTTAGTCTTTGACTCACCCATTGTTGATTTCTTGGGAGTAAATATATCACATAATACTTTTTTGGGGCTTTCTTGCATTCGGGAAGACCATATCCTTTGAGTCATCTCCATGAATCTCTGTAGAGTGTCCTTTGACTTTGCAGCTTATTAAAATAATTATGCCACCCTTGACATCTAATAGTTACATAATTCTACCTTGTCTCTGCTATTCTGTGCTCTTATCTCCATTGCTACCAGAAGCTAAATATTGTTTGAGTGTCTCCTGTCAGGCCTAGTCTGCAGAACACTATCACTGTGGATCTTCTCAGTAAAGTCTGTGCCCCCATCACCAGTATTTTTCTCATTGCCTTGGTAAACAGAGTATTCTCTGGGCCTTTATGAGGAACATATTCAACTGGTAGGTCTTCTGAGCCTATGTAATAGATCCTTTCCAGCATGCTTCCCTATGTCTTTAAATTTCTTCCTTTCACAGTGTGCCACAATGATTCTGGCATCTCTGTTTCATTTAATAGGCACCATTGCTTTTTCCTAGAGCTATACAGCAAAGTGTTAGGCCATTTACAAGGGCCCTTACTGGGTCTTACGTCCTCTTTCAAAGGAATCTGTCCTGTATCCAAAAACTCTCCCATATTCTGTTTTCTTTTCCCACACCCTCAGCAACCACCAGCATATTCTTCACCTGGTTCTTGCTGCTTCAAATTGGCCCATTACTACAGCACTATGTAGCATATATTTAGTTACTAATTTCGTATTAAAGGGTCTTCTTAGAGGTTGTCCTGTCCTGGATCAAGGAGGTTGGGCTGTTTTATCCACTGTCATTCCCCACTTGCTATCACAAGTGGAGATAGCACAGAGGAGAGAAAGGATTTAGACAGGAGGGCAGTGTGGAGCATAACCTCCCAGGAATCTTTGTGCCAGATGATTCCTTTCAAGCATGGTCATTTCTCCAGAGAAAGGTGCAGCTCTGAACCATGAGCAGTCAGCACAGGAGCAAATAGAAAGATTTTCCTCGTATATTAGTATATGGGACTCTGGGTAGGGCATCAACAGCATCTGCTACAGATATCTCAAGTACCTTGTATGTGCTAGCCACTTTACCAACAAACATCATCTCATTCAGTGGTATGTTAGAGGTAACTTGAATCAGGTTACAAGACAGTTATTATGCACATCCGTTTGCAAAAGGTGTTCCATAACATCTGTTGCTAGCTTGAAATTGGCTGTAGATTCAGTATTCACATCACAGAAATCTGCAAATGCAACAGTTCAGGGCCTTACCGCCCCCCCCCCCTGCCCCCAGAACTGGTTGTTAAAACTTTGACCAGTATACACCTTCATTTAATCCTTGCTACAACTTTATGAAGCTGGGTGAGAAAACTGAGCATCAAAGTGATTAATATACTCCTCATCTCTCATGGTGCTAATAAGCTATGTAATTGAAATTAAATCCAGTTTTGTTTGATCCTGTAACTTGGACTTATACTGTTATAGCACATTGCCTTTTTTTTTTTTGGAACTTAGAAAATTCAGTCTTTTTTGAATCCTTTGAGAGACCTGGCTAAATTTCTAGATAATCCTGAATGTACTTTAATCACATTTTCTACTCCAAGTCAGTGACTTTGTTAAAGATACTCAACTAGTAAATAGCAGCCTCCAGACATTTTACTTTATCAGTTTGCCTCTGTTTTAAACATTCTTCTCTTTACCTGTTTCCCTAATTCTTCTTTATGGAAATGTAAAAGGCACCCAGAAAATATTTGTTAAATGAATAAATGATGACCATATAATGTGAAATTAGTTTTTCTAAAGGATTACTTTGTAGTTATATAAAGGGCAAATTAGCATCCCCTTCTCTAATTATTATCATAGGTTAAAAATTTTCCCAAAATGCCACAGTACAGAGTGGGAAATACTGTGTTGAATCAGAGTTGATAAATGTTTGGAAAAGGTGTAACTTGCTCTCAAGTAACTAAGGGGTTTTCATTGCATTTTTAATTAAATTAGAAATGCAACACCGACTGTACAGTTGCTCATTTCCACCCTGTATTGAGTTACAGTATTATTTAAATTGAATGGTTATGCTGAAAATAAATTCAGTCTTCGCATAGACTTAAATCTTTTCAACTTTTGTGGCATGGAATTGACTTCTCTTGTTGTGTTCTTATTTGTATTTATGAAGCAAGGAGAAGTCAGACTGAAATGTTTGAAAGCTCTACAAAGTCTATATACCAATAGAGAATTATTCCCCAAATTGGAGTTATTCACTAACCGATTCAAGGTAAGCATCAAGAATGCTCAACTTACTTTGTTTTTTACTTTTAAAATGCCAGTTCTAGCTAATTTTTAAATAACCTTACCATAACAAGTGTTTAGTTCATATTCTTTTCTACATATTCTTTAAATAAACCTGTATTAAATAGATTAATGAATCTCTGCTTTACAAAAGATATTTCCAACATGAATTCTTATGTATTGCCTTCAGCACAAGGCTCTCCTGCTTTAAAATAATATTTTCCTTATATATAACTTTTTGTAATTATAGGAATTTTGTACGTGAAGGGTCATTAGTCTCAGTATTAGGGAATGCCTGTTGATAAGAAAGAAAATTAGGAACGTTTATACTAACCACCTCCTTTGTATATGTAAGACTATGATAATATGGTTTTAGGAGTAAAGTTTTCTATTTAATCTACCATTAGTCTTGCATGTAGTTCCCAAAGATATTCTCTTAAGTCTGTCCCAATTTATTTTCTGCTCATGTTTTGTTTGGTTTTTAACCTTTTTTTCAGGATCGCATTGTATCAATGACACTTGATAAGGAATATGATGTTGCTGTGGAAGCTATTCGATTGGTTACTCTGATACTTCAGTAAGTATAATATTTGTTAATAATTTGATCTTGATATTTTAATGTGTTTTTTCCCAGTTTTATTGATGTTCTTCACATACATAACCCTAATATATATTCTTGTCACATTAGTTTCTATTTTTAGATTTTAAGGTTAGGTTTGAAACAAAATGTTTTGTTTTTCTCTTTTTGTTTTTTATTTTGACTTTGATTATTTCTTCTATATAAAAGTTTTCCTTTTCAGTACAGAGAAAATATCAGCAAAGTAAAATACCTTTCTATTTTAAAAGAGAGAGCAAGAAAGAGAAGGCATCCAAAGTTACAGGTTTTTTTGGAATGGTATAGGAGAAAGGAGATAAGGCATTTAAATTGTGCCATTCATATGACAGAGAATTTTTAAATAGCAATAGTTTTTATCTATAGAGCTTTGACTAAATACTGAGAAGATTATGTGAGAGAATTCATGTTTTAGCAAACTCATTACAAATCCTTCTCCCAGTTTGTTACATTGTATCTATCATATACCACATACCATCTGTGCCAGGCCTACTGTTCTGATCTCTTTTTTTTTAACCTCTTTATGCTCTAGTACCATACTAGTACCATACTCTTATCATTGTAGCTTTATGATATAATATATGTTACAAATAAGCCCTCCCCTTTTTGATTGATTCCTTATTCTTTGCCTTTCTTTTTCTTTTCTTTTCTTTTTTTTTTTTTTACAAATAGTTTATTGTCAAATTAGTTTCC